AATTGATTTTTCAGAATTGTGTGTGGTAATATCCCTTTGACCCTATTGGAAGATAAAGAACATGTTGAAGTGGCCAGTTTTAAAAATTCCCTTTTGCCTTGTAACAGAATCAAGTCATGGTTTTCTTTGGAAAGATGCCTTTGCCAGTGAACACTAAGGGAGGAATAAGGTCTGTTAATCAGTTGAAATGTTGCAAGTGATTCCTAATAGCCTGGAGAAAGGGCTGGAGAATCCTGGAAGCAAATGGTGCATAATTTTGATGGGTAATGACAAGGCAATTCCTGATTCCTCAAAGTTAAGAGGAAGCAAAGCATCTCCAAGGCAAACAGTTGTTCTAGGAATTGTGAGGTTGACAGTACCTACTGTGTGTGGCATTCCTATTGGAATGTGTAACCTCTTACAAATGAAAACGTTTCCATGATATGAAAAGTAGCATGTTTAGGCAAAGGAAATCAGAGGATAGGAAACAAACTCTGAACAAAACTCTCCAAAGGGAGAAGTTGCCGTTGAGTCTGTTCTCCTAACATTGTTTTATTTGTTTGGCTGAAATCCAGTTTTTGGTTGGGAAGATGAAGGTTGAAGTGATAATGATGAAGGTGTAGTTAGGAGTGGAGCATCCCTCAGATGAAGAAGTGTTACCATGACCCACGTGAGGCTAACACAGGGAATGGAAGTGATTTGTTGTGAAATTCCTGTGTTGCTCTTAAATTTGGCTTCCTAGTAGGGCCGGAAGGTTAGCAGAACTTATTTTCCTCTCATCACCATACTTATGGAACCCACTCACAACTCTCTTACAAATCTGGCTTCCGGCCTGGGGAGGGAGAAGTAGGCTAAAATGGATTATGTAATGCTCACTTAGAATTGTTGGGGGAAGAATGTGTGCATGACTGAGTAATGCAACTCCCTCTGTCTCTTTACATGTGCTCTTACACATTTTTATTCTGAATGAAACTCTGGAGAGAGTGAAGTGAAAAGGAGAGTCAAGGAGACCTGGGGAGTGGTGTAGATAGCAGAAATTCTTCCTTCTCTCCCACGGAGATACCAGTATCTGTGGGCAAAAAAGATTGACAGCTAGGAACAAAGAGAACTTTTATATTGTCCTCCGCAGAAAGCACTGAAATTGAGTTTTTGAATCAGCTGAGCCATTTTACCCCATAACTTTTCATCTCAGGACGTTCAGTTCAGTTCAGTTCAGTCGCTCAGTCGTGTCCGACTCTTTGCGACCCCATGAATTGCAGCATGCCAGGCCTCCCTGTCCATCACCAACTCCCGCAGCTTACTCAAACTCATGCCCATCGAGTCAGTGATGGCATCCAGCCATCTCATCCTCTGTCGTCCCCTTCTCCTCCTGCCCCCAATCCCTCCCAGCATCAGGGTCTTTTCCAATGAGTCAACTCTTCGCATGAGGTGGCCAGAGTACTGGAGTTTCAGCTTCAGCATCAGTCCTTCCAATGAACACCCAGGACTGATCTCCTTTAGGATGGACTGATTGGATCTCCTTGCAGTCCAAGGGACTCTCAAGAGTCTTTTCCAACACCACAGTTCAAAAGCATCAATTTTTCAGCACTCAGCTTTCTTCACAGTCCAACTCTCACATCCATACACATGACCACTGGAAAAACCATAGCCTTGACTAGATGGACCTTTGTTGGCAAAGACGTTATGTCCCTACAAAATTGCCCTACTTAGTTGGATTTTTTTTAACATTTAGGGAGAATTATAACAAGAACAGTTTTATGTAAGATTTGTCTACTCAGATTTTTACTGACAATAAAAAAATTCCTAAATCTTTAACTTGGCTTGTGTTCTTAAAATACTTGAAAAACACTGAAGGCAGAGGACAACCATTATAAATATGAGTTCACACAATTACACTTGCTTCTATGAGTTTTCTAATTAAATCAAAATTTTAGTTTTATCTAGAGGAAGATAGATTAAAGAAAGAAGGGTGCAGCGGAAGACCAAAAAAAGAGAGAGGGAGACAGGAGAGAGGAAGACAAGACAGAGGAAGAAACCAGCCCTTTACTGAGCACCCAGTATGATCCGAAACAGTGTTAGGTGCTTGGATTAAGCATTCTCTTTCTTGCATATTTAATCCTCACAAAACGCTTTGGACTCCGCTTTATTTTTGGAGGAGAATGCAATATATTCAGCTCTATTATATTTGACATTTATGGCAAGACATAGACAGTGGAAAGTACAATAAACCCACAGAAATTGAAACAAACATTGCCCTATAGGAATTTTCTCTCAAAGGCTTGTTTTTGATCCATAACCATGGGTTTTGTGGCACTAGATGTGGCTCTAGTCTTGGAAAGGACAAGCTCTCTAGATTGATCCTTCTCCATATTCAGTGATGAGTTTGGCTCTTTGCAATTAAGTGCAGGGTTCTGTCTGCTTCAGGAACATGGTAATGTTCATGTGTAGTCCTGTTACCAGAAGCAAGCCTGATTGAAGGTTTTCCTGGATGATGTTCTTCAGGTAGGTAAAAAAGAAAAGGGTCTGTTGCCCTTTAACCCTGATATGAAAGTGATTGAAGAAGAGTTTGAAATGAAAAGAAAAATTGAAGCCATTTGCTACATAATTGTAGGAGACACTTTATGATGATTTCTGTACATTTAGTGTTTAAAGACGAAATGAAACATGGACTATCATAGCACCTGTTTTCTCGTAGCTTGAAATTACTCTGCTCTCTTTATATCACTTGCTTGGCTAAATTTGTGACTTTCTCTTGATATCTTAAACCATTCCACTCTTCCTAAGAAGTTTTAATGTTAAATAGCTGCTGCTGCTGCTAAGTCACTTCAGTCGTGTCCAACTCTGTGCGACCCCATAGACGGCAGCCCACAAAGCTTCCTCATCCCTGGGATTCTCCAGGCAAGAACACTGGAGTGGTCTGCAAGATAGTTTTAGCTCACAATTAATTACTTATAGTAAAGCAGTCTGTATTCTCTGAAAATTAGCACTCTCTTCATTTCCTGTGAATAGTTATTAAATGAACCTAGAAGATGAATAGGTAATCAAAATCAGTAACAGATTCACTAAGACACAAAATTCTGTGTATTCTTTACTATCTTCATTATGTTATGTCTTCATTGACACATTTATTTTGGGGCAACTTGCATTTGCTGTGGCACGTACCTCTGGTCACTGTCTCATAGGACTGGAGGGTAGCAAAAGGAGGGATGGGGGACAGAGAGGATGGAAAATGAGATTAGAAAAAGTGGATAAAATGAGACATGGTAGTGTTTTTAATGGCTAAATCTGAAATTACTTCTTTTTCTTGGCTGAATTAGTCACAGTAGTGTGCCAAAGAAGTAGGTAAGAATGATCGAAGTATCTGTAACAAATTTTTTGAGAGAAGAATAACCATATAGCTCCTAACATTATTAGGGTGTTTTTTGAGGGTGGAGCCCTGCATATAGCACTGATATTCTTTGACCCTTATTAGTCAATTATAATTCGTTAATAGATTGCAGCTCAAAAGTGTATGTTTGGCACAGTTTAGCACATGATATGCATTTTTAGGACCGCCTGACAAAAAAATAAAATGTCTTCAATGTTTATATTTGGGATATGAAATATGCGGCCTTCTATGACTGCAGACTGGGGCTTACTGCCTGGTTTTGTGGGCTTCTGGGCTTCATTTGACAATGCTAGCACCCAGGCAGCTATGACTCTTGAGAATTAGCTTAAAAGTAGCATCATCTGCCACCTGGTAAGTTAAGGCTCTTTGGTCGTGGCCTAAAAAGTTGAAGAGTTAAAGACTTCTTATAGGCATGATTATCTTAGATGGAGATTTGAACATTTTAAATGTGCTTTTCTACCCATTAAAAATGTATCTGGCTTTACTAACAAAAATACTTTCAGTGGAAGTCAGCACAAGGTGTTTTTTTTTTTAAATAAGAAATAGAGGAAATTTTATCCTTCTCAAAACTCTTTTTATTCATGTCATTTAATCTTTATAATAGCCCTGTGGATATCCTCCATTCTAATGTAAGTAAATAAATCTCAGAAATTTTAGGTGAGTTATAAAAGAGTTACCAATCAGGTATTTTAAAGTGCATCTTAAAATCCTGAGTACACATGCCCTAAATGCTAGAAATCTAATTATTTCAGTCAGTGCTTAGTATGATTGAAGATTTCCCTGCAAAGTGATCAAAACATTTTCTTCAATACTCTAAATTCAGTATCAGAACATGCATTCTGATATCTAGTCTATTAGAAGGAAAAAAGAGCATGGATAAATTCTAACATGGTTTTCAGAATAATTTTGCTGCTCTAATATTTTATTTGATGAAATAAAATAATGACAATATTTTTCCATGCTTTAGTTTAGTTTCTTGCTGATACCATCAGTCCCAGATTGACTACCAACATTGAGGTCTTATTTGCCACAAGATTTAATTCTTCAGTATAAAATGAAGACTGTAGCGCAGTACTGTCTCAGGACTTTAAATATCACAAAATTATATAATCTGGTTGCATCAGAACAGAAGGAGTAATTCTACTGCAGAAGAATCTACCACAGTTGTGTAGCTGTGACTATCCAGTTGAATTTCGTACTTCCAATCTTAAATATCCATGAAAAATTCTATCTTTAGATTAGACAGTTAGTTTAAGGGATACTTATATCTCACACATGCATTTAACCATCCTGTCCACTGTAATTTTGCTGTCTGGTTTCAGAAAGAGGAAGGAAAAAACCCTGGACAATACTTTTTTTTGTTTGTTTTTGATTGTGCTATTCTCTTCTTAAGCAGATATTTTTGTCATCTCTTCTTTTGAGTCCAATTTTCCTTTGGTTTGTTTATGTCAATGGCTCTTGACAATCTGATAAAATGTTTCCAGAAAGCACATGGATTTGGAACTCTCTCTTGTTATGTTTATATTAGGCTTTGTTTTAAAGGCAAGTGAGACTGCTTCAAATAAAACAACTCCAAGCTTCCAAGAAACAGTTAAGAGAAGGCAGAGACGAGCAGAAACACCCCTTCACTAACACACGGTTGCCATGGAGCTGCATCAGCGGTGGGAGAACTCAGAGACTAACTGGCACAAAGAGAAGATGGAATTGCTGGACCAGTTTGACAATGAAAGAAAGGAATGGGAAAGTCAATGGAAGATAATGCAGAAGAAGATAGAAGAGGTACATGTTGATTTGTTTGAATCCTTCGGAAACTTAAAACTCAGAATGAAAATCTTTTTTGGTTTGTATTGGAAACTGTTTTTACTTTCCAGTTCCACCTAAAAGATACATGTCTCAGTGATATTTACTAGACCGAAAATAGCATAACCTAACCCACTGGTAGTGTAGAGACTATACTTATTTTATAACTTTGCATGAAAACTCTAAAATCTGTCAATTTACTCTTTCTTTACCAAAATGCTGATGGTATCAAAAGTGAGGTATGTATTTTGCATGAGTTTTCAAATGCTGAGCCCGCCCAGTGTGAAAATAAAAGAAAACCATAACTAGTGGAACATACCTTTGGAGTATTACAATTGGGCATTAAAATAGATCTTTTCTAAGATAATGTATGAATAATGTCTCCTAAAGGAAATTATGTACTCGATAATTCCTTTTGTATAACCAAAAGGAGTGTTGTATATCAAAAAGAAAATGACAGTGGACATGATATTTATCTTGGCAAGGTGCACCACATTTATTGGGATATTTATTAGAAAAGAGTTTATGAAAAATGACATGCCCAGAATCTGATACAAATAGTAATTTTATCTCTTCAGCCTGTTAGACCTTGAATATTTCCTTAATTATCTGCACTGATATATATTCAGGCTTGTTCCAACTGAAAATTATTTATACTTATCTTGCTTTCTTGTAACATCCCTGCTGTTGATTTACATGGTTTGTGCATATTGCCAAAGCAGTTATTTTAACAGATTCCTTGGCCTTCATTCACAGGCAATCAAAGCTAATTCTTTGTGTGTTTATAGTGCAAATATTTTTCTTATTAACAGCCATGTAATTGATTATGAATAAAATACAAATTGGCATGTTAAAAGGAAAACTAAGAAAAGAATAGCCATTAACCCATTAGAGAATTCCATGGACAGACCATGGGGTCGCAAAGAGTCGTGACTAACACATAGTCATTAGACTGTTCTTGTAAAACCCAACTGAGAAGTCAGGCATGTAGTAGACGATTGCAGATTGAAAGGAGACTTTACTTCTTGTCCTTCTATAGTTTGGAAAATGCATTTTGCTTCCTCTGTTAATTCCTCCACCCAGAGTTCTATTGGATCAAAAAGGAGATGGCTAAATCAGAATCTACAATGCCAGTTTGAAACCTGAACTCATAGGTCACTGGCTTCTCAAGGTTTGGAAGATCCATTTAATAATAGTCTCAGATAATTCTAGCATCTGAGCAAAATAATTAAGGGAGTCAGGATTAGTCTAGCCAATTGTTTAAGCCATGTAGCTTAAGATGGTAGCTAAGATAGTCTGCTCTCTATTTAAATTTGATATTGTCAAATAATTATTCTGACAGCTCTGCAGATTCCATCTATGGAAGATATTAGCTTTGTCAATTAATAGGGATTAAACATACTTCAAACTTAGGCAATAGTCCATAAAAATACTGACAGACTGGAATATTTTTTCTTTATTTTGGATAGTAGCTGTGGTGCTATTTATGTCACGATGCTTGCATTGTACAGCACCATACCTGAGAATATGTTGGATAATGTGCTTACTCAGACTACCCACCCAGAGAGGGTGCTCTACAATACCTGAAGACTAGCATTGTGTCCCCCTTGTCATAAAAATATAGTTGTCCCTCAGTAGACATGGGAAATGGCTCCAGGAACCCCCATGGATACCAAAATTCATGGATACTCTCAAGTTCCTTATATAAAATGACAGAGTATGTATGTATTCTTTTCCACTCTCAGCTTTCCACTCCCAGTATTTGTACCTATAATAATGTACCTTTAATATCTTCCTGCTTAGAAGCTACAAAGCTGGGTTAGAAAACATTGGGAAAAACAGGAAATTGTCCTCACATGTTATAGAAAGTCAAGACAATATTTTTAACTAAAATGAAAAGTCTACACTTGGAAAAAATGTAAGATCCTACAAGCGTGTGTATGTGTGCGTGCTAGTCACTTCAGTTGTGTCCGACTCTTGCGACCCTGTGGACTATAGCCCACCAGGCTCCTCTGTCCATGAGATTCTCCAGGCAAGAATACTGGAGTGCATTGCCATGTCCTCCTCCAGGGAATCTTCCCAACCCAGGGATCAAACTTGTGTCTCTATGTCTCCTCCTTTGGCAGACAGGTTCTTTACTAGTAGCACCACCCAAAGAGACTGTATTTCTTTCTTATTTATCACGAATTCTGTGTTTTAGATCAGACACAACTTATTAAGTCATATGCTAGAAAATTTAACATTTTTAAGTGCATGCTTATAACTTCTGTGATTCCAAGTAAGTATATCAGTATTCTGATCAGAGAGAGGATCAGTATTGGGTATTAAGATGCTAATGATTCTTTATTCAGCCACTAGCCACAATCATTGCATTTGCTGTTACAAAGTGAAGATGTAGATACTTGGATCTTTGAAACCTAGACACCTGGGAATTTTTTTTTTAATCACTTTGCCATATTTCCTGCTTGTATCCTTTATTTGAATGATCAGATACCCATTGAAGACAGCTAAGTACCAAGTAACAGATTTCCTTACACAAAATAAATGGTTTCCCATCAATAATATAATGTTTTTTGTTTTCTCATACTTCACCTAAGTCCCTAAGAGAATTTAAGAAGTCAAATAGAATTCTATGTTAATCAAAGTATTTCTAAATGAGAAGAGAAAGATGAAGTGAAGACAAGAGGAAGGATCCTTTGCAAAATGCATGCAGCAAGTCCATCTTTCTAGCAAGTAACAAAAAATTACCAGATGCATATTTCTGAATATTCAGGAAACAAAAGGAGACTAATTTCCCAGAAATAGCACTTTGGTCCCTGATTTTACATTGAAGCAATTTTGTTTTCACCCATGACTCCTCTAAAAAAGGACAGTGCCACCAAGAACATCCTTAGATTTAGCATGGTGCTTTGAAGGGTTGCTTCTTATTATACCCCTCAAGGTCGGCCAAAATTATAATGTCCACAGCAGTTCAGTACAGATAATTTTACAGGAGCCAAAACAGTTGATTCATGATGGCAATTTGATGCTATCCTGACTTCATCCAATGACAAATTTATGACTAGGGCAATAAATGCAGTGCATATCCTTCAGGCATTAAATATGTTCTAGTGCTTCTCTCTGACATTTGGGTAATTATTGAGTAGCAATAATTGATTAATAGATCTCATGCAGATATAGGATGTGACTGTAAAATGTAGAGTTATTTGCTTTAATAGTTCTCTGGCAATCTTTGGAATTTGACAGGTTTCCCCAGAACTCAAGCCTGAAGAGAAAGTCACTAATTGCCTGCAGGTTAAACTAAATCCTCAAGAACTAATTTGGGGCAATTAATAAACTAATAGATGATCAAAGCCTTAGAGTTCAATTGTATCACATAGGACAGGGTCATATTTGTTTTAATTAGGACAAAGAAAGAAACTTTTTTTGAATGTATATAACCTTGGAAGTAAAAAAAAAAAACCAAGTCTGAGGATTACCTACCCCTCACCCACATAACTTCCTAAAGAAACATCTTTTGATGATGAAACAACTACTTAGGGGACAGAATGAGCTGAGAGACTGTGAGATTACTGCAATTATTACAGTCTACTATGTGAGATTGTCAGTCATTTAGACAGTTCAATGTTGACTTACAAGTAGGATCATATATTTTAAAAATATGGCCTTAATGTCGGTTAAATTAAAGTACGTTGCTAGTAATTGGGAGAAGGCAATGGCACCCCACTCCAGTACTCTTGCCTGGAAGATCCCATGGACAGAGGAGCCTGGTAGGCTGCAGTCCATGGGGGTCACTAGGAGTCAGACACGACTGAGCGACTTCCCTTTCACTTTTCACTTTCATGCATTGGAGAAGGAAATGGCAACCCACTCCAGTGTTCTTGCCTGGAGAATCCCAGGGATGGTGGAGCCTGGTGGGCTGCCGTCTATGAGGTCACACAGAGTCGGACACGAAGGAAGTAACTTGGCGGCGGCAGCAGCAGCCAGTAATTGATTGAGGTCCTTCCAATTTTGTTAACAGTGCTTCTGTGTCATTATGATATCTATATACAATTGCAGGTTTCTGTCATTTTTGAATGAGTTGATTTCTACTCAGAAAAATAGAAATTACCTTCTTTGCCCTACTACATGTAGTCTTTATGGTTCATCAAAAGTTCCTCCAGCTAATTTAGATTTTAGAAGCATGATTTGGAAGCATAAGCGTTAGTGCCCTGGAGCAGTCTATGTATGCATGCGTGCTAAGTGGCTTAAGTCATGTCTGACCCTAGGGACTGTAGCCCACCAGGCTCCCCTGTCCATGGGATTCTCCAGGTGAGAATACTCAAGTGGGTTGCCATTTCCTTCTCCAAGGGATCTTCCGACCCAAGGATCAAACCCAAGTCTCTTATATTTCCTGCAGTGGCAGGTGGGTTGTTTACTACCAGTGCCGCCTGGGAAGACCCACTATAGAGAGAGAGAAAGAGAGAACTCAGAACACTGTGTTTAGGATCAAAACTATTGAGAAAGTGGGTTGGGGGAAAATTTTTATCTTTGTTTTCCTTATAGCTCTGCCATGAAGTAAAGCGTCGGAGGAAAATCAACATGAGTGAACGTGCTAAGGTCATTGATCTTGATTGTGAGAAGGCTGTTGGAGATAAAATGGAATCTTCTCCAGATTACCCCAATTCAGGACAATGTAAATTTACAGGGGTACATCCCAGGGATGTTCTGGGGAAAAAAGATAAAACAGAGCAGAGTTTACTCAGGGAAAGAAATCAAGTGTGCAAGGAACAAAAAACAATCAAAAAATCAAAAGTAGGGTATATGGATTCTGAAGCCAGAGACAACCAAAAAGAATGTGAGGCCCGGCCTGACCTGAGGACTTCTGAGGCAGAGAACAAGAGCTGCTCTGGCGCCCTCAACACAGTAAGTAAGACGGGATTGGCCTTGGACTGTTTCTAAAGAAATATTTACATTTCAAAGGGCTAACGTGCTATTGCTTGTATGTATAAAGGCTCTTGAAGAACTTGCCAAAGTTAGTGAAGAATTATGCAACTTTCAAGAGGAAATTCGAAAGCGGTCTAATAACCACAGAAGGTAGGCTGGTACATCTATGATGATTTTTATCTTGAAAAATCAAGACGAATATTGTTTTAAGTTAATGAGTCGAAATTACCTTTCACATTTAACACTTTGTTAGCAAGATTTAGTAATGTTACTAAAATCTGTTATTTTAGGAGATAAAAGCTTAAATTGTACATTTCTGTGTTCATTAATTCTTAAAGTAAATCTTCTGGTTTTCTTCATAATTTGACTATTAGGTGTACTTTACTTTTTTTGATGTTTAGTTTAGTTATACTTGCCATTGTGCTCAGTCACTCAGTCGTGTCTGACTCTTTGCGACCCTAAGAACTGTATCACCAGGTTCCTCTGTCCATGGAATTTTCCAGGCAAAAATACTGGAGTGGGTTGCCATACCCTCCTCCAGGGGATCTTCCCGACCCAGGGATCAAACCCACGTCTCCTGTGCCTCCTGCATTGGCAGGTGGATTCTTTCCCTCTGAGTCACCTGGAAAACCCCAACACTCACCATAATAAATAGTAAATTAACAAGTGTGTGCAATGGCATTCTTTTTGTTTTGAGTATTTGGCCAGTGGAACAGTATGCTGGGTTAACCTAGTTAAATACATCTTTAAGCTGTGTCAAATTTAACAATGTAGCATTTTAATCTTATAAAGGATGTTATGCTGAAATATTCTGAATTATTTATTTCTGTACATTTATTATGTATATAATGAAAGCATTCATAATTTTCTGAACAACATACTGTAAATACATACACACATATATCTTTACACAGTGCTGTAAAAATGCTGTTTCAGTTCAGAAACACCTATATAATTCGAAGGCCAAATTGAAAAATAAATTGGATTCTCCACAAGTTAAGTGATGGATTGCTCTAAAATCACCATTTATCTCCTATGGGACAGCGTACTTCTCTTAGAAGCTATAGCAATGTGAACCCTTATTTTTCTTCATCTCTTTGGAAGCTCAGAGAGAATTTTTGTACTGATTTACAACAGATCTGACTTACCCAACCATGTTTTACACATAATTTTGCCTTCCACTTTTCCCATTTAGCTTTTGCCTAGTAGGTATTCATCTGCACTTTTTTATAAGCTGTCTCATAATGGAAGTTAAATAGGTATAAATGTGGTTTCTATTTATCAATATGATTAATTAATGTTAATTTGTGAACCCACAATATTGCTACATTTAGGTTTTTATTTCAGTAATTCAGAGAATTCTTACTTTCCAATTTGCTTTTACAAACCATCCCTGGTATAAAGTTCTCACTGTCACTTCATGGCCTTTAGAAAAAAAAGCTCAAAATTCTTAATATGTAATTCAAAGTTATTACAATTTGACCTAGTGTTTCTCTCTTATTTGTCATCATCCTTTCCCACTCTGTTTTATATTCCATCTATACCAAATTACTCACTGTAGCTTGAGCAGCCACATGATTTTTACTGCAGCTTTTTAAAAAAAATATGTCCTTTACTCATCAAAAAAAAAAAAAAAAAGCTCACTTTTCTTTCTTGTCCAAATAACACCTCCCATTTGGTATTTCTCATGTCTCTGTGCTTTGATTCAGATTTCTGGAATGAAATAGAATGTTATTTCATTAATTTCTTAGAATGTTATTTCAAATTTGAGGGGCGGAGATTGAGCTCAGAAGACAGTATGAATAGGAATTCAGTAGGCCAAGCTGAGGTAAGGAAATGGCAAGAGAAAAACCTATGAAAATGGGAACACCAGTAGGAGACACCCAAGAGACTACTCAAAGTGGAGTCTGAGTGTAGGTGAAGTTTCAGGTAATAGAAGAAAATAATGCAAGACAGTTAAAAAGACAGTTTGGGTCAGACTATGTATATAGTTTTGAATACAACACTGAATGGTGGTCTTTATCCTACAGCAAAAGTGACTTGAAGTTTTGTACTAGGAAATTTATATAAAAGTATTGTTTAAGGAAGTTGTGACTCCTTTTCCTATAATAGAATCCATTGTTTTAGGCCTAGTGTCTTTTAAGAGTTTATCATAAAGTCATCACTAATATAGCACGTTTTATAATTTTTAGGATGAAGTCAGATTCTTTTCTCCAGGAAACACCAAATGTAATGAATACTCCTCGTGGAGATCACATGATCAACAACAGCCAGTGCATTCCTTCAACCAGTTTAGAAAATGAGAAACGGAAAAACAGAAAAAATCTGAGCTATGCCAATGTTTTCCAGAACAATTCCAAGAAAAAAGATGGAATTGATACAACTGACCTGAAAAGAAGTGAAACCCCACCAATTCCTCCTCCAAGAAGCACATCTCGAAATTTTCCCAGCTCATATTGTGCACAAGCCCATGAAAGTTGGAAGGAATGTTTAGACCACAGCAGCTGGGTGGCCCAAGGGGGTCGAGGTGAAAAGAACAGCCACCCTCATTTCTTCTGGAAGCATGATGAGATGCCTCTGCTGGGTCTAAATGAAGGGAAGACTCTGAATGATGGTATCACGTTTCCTTCTTTGGCACCAGAAGCCAAAGTAGATAACAAGCCTTCATATAATGAAAATGTTGGACTTAGCATGTGGTCGTGCAACACTGGGGTTTGTGCAAAAAATAGCCCCTCCACACTGTGGTTTCAGAAAGTCTGCTCTACTCCCAATAAGCCAAAATATGAAAAGGTAATTCCAGATCACCCTGCTAAATCTCCTCCTGATCTTCATATAAGCAATGACTGTGGCTCCTTAGCGTCACAGAGCAGCGGCCCACCGAGAAGTTGCAGTTATGGCTTTGAAAAGACGACCGGGAATGAAAAGCTGGCAAAAAAGACTGACGAATTTAACAGAATCGTATTTAGAACAGATAGAAATTGTCATGCTGTACAACAAAGCCAGAGCTGCTCAGAACCATCTGAAGATCTTCAGCCCTGTGAGACTTTGACTGCGTGCACAGCCAACGTCTCAGACAGTGACAGTGTTTCTGACGTTCTGAAAACCAGTGCTGCCATGCCTATGCCCAGGGAAAATGTGCCTGATGATTCTTCCAAAAAACCCACAACAGGCCAGTTCAGACCAACCCAGGAGCCCGTAAGCCCTAGCAGTTACCGGAATATGCTTCACGAGCATGACTGGAGACCAAGTAACTTGTCTGGCCGGCCAAGGTCAGCAGACCCCAGATCAAATTATGGTGTGGTGGAAAAGCTGCTGAAAACCTATGAGACATCCACGGGGTCTGCATTGGAGAATTCTAGATGCTTCCAGGCCAACTGGACCAAATGTAGTTCTGATGTCAGTGGTGGAGCCACATTAGGTCAGCATTTCGAAAAGCTCCAAATAGAACAAGAGCTTGAGCATAAGACAGCAATGCATGGAGCACAGCAAGTGAAGCAAGGAGTAGATCGGAAAAAGGTAACTGAGGTGAGAAAGAAATTTAACATATTTTGGTGGAACTGCATCCATATTTAGCAATGGCTCAGAGTTCAGTCATTTGCCCATTCATATAAATAGAACATAGGCAAATGTTTTGACATCTTCTGGCTCTTTGACCCTTCATTTGTGAATAAATATAAACCTTAGGATTGTAATTCAGTGCAAACTTTTAAAAGTTTAGTTTTTAAGTCTGGGTTTAGCACATTACAGTTTTTATTTAAATTCTGAAATAGCAGAAAATATAATGTAAAAAATGGACTCAAGAACAAAATGATCAAATATTTGTTGTGTTTCTTTCTTGAAGAATATTCTGAATGGGAGTTTGTTCATTTATAGAATTTTATCCTACTAAAGTGTTTATATTTTTTAAAGTATATGGAAAGTATTTTTTAAAATAACTTGTATTTTTCTGTTATTAGCTATGATTAGTTCAGTCATTCCCAGAATTTGATTTGTGTTCTTCCTCATGGGATTATTCACATGAATATGAGTTTGGTTTAAAAAAAAAAAATCATTTAAAATAGTGCCTCATAAAGTTCTCTTATTGTGGAGCTAAAAGGCAGTATATAAAAAAAAATGATAGTATAGCATAAAAAATTTAAAGTCATTGTTATTGGTATAAATTCTTTGTGTGGAAATTGTCCACCCAAAATGGGTATTTAAATAAACTGTTACCTTTTTTTATTACAGTGTGCTTGCAAAAGAGTGTAATCTTAGAGGGGAGAAAAGAGGTTAAAGAGATCTGTATTTATAATGAAGAGCTATCCATCAGTACCTTATACACATAATTTATAAAAAGTTACAAGGTGACATATTGTTATAATTAGGCAACACTTTGAAAATCTTAGTTTTACAGAGCACAGTGTGTATGCAGCATAGTTTTAAACGATGCAAGTTGCCTCCTTCTGGTGTGAGAAATTTTTATGTGGTTTTCAAGTCCTACAAAATATCAGTTTACATCCACTTGATCAGAAGCTTTGTCTGTCTGCCCAAAGTGCAAATAACTATCCTGCTTTTGTATGTCTGTTGTTTAGTTGAGCCCATAAATACCTGTAAGGTCCTCTGGCTTCAGATGGAAGGGCATGGAAGTGGAAGCATGTGTACAATAATCAGCCAAAAATTCTCATTAACAAATGCTATTAAATATTTCCCATTTTTGCAATGATTGGAGGTTTGAGAAGGGTCCTCTACTGTAGATCCTTAAGAGCAGTTCTTATATTTGGGACACCCCTGATGGTCCAGTGGTTAAGAGTCCATCTTCCAATACAGGGGACGTGGGTCTGATATCTGGTCAGGAACTAAGATCTCACATGCCAAGGGGCTACTAACCCAAGCGCCACAGCTAGAGAGATACCTCACACATGGCAACTGAGAGCCCACTCAGCAGCAAAAGACCCCACATGCCCCAATTAAGACCCAGCACAGCCAGAAGTACATATTTTTAAAAAAGAACAAAGTTCTGTTTTAAAGGCGTTTAAAGATAACTTTGAAGCTTTTGAAAGATTGATAGTAAGAGTGGTTCTTAGTGAACAAAAAAAAGATAGCATCAGACAAATCATTTGGTGGTTTGTGTCCCTTTCATTTATGATCTCTAAAAGTGTCAATAATGACATAAAGTAACTGGATGCAAATTAATTCTTCATGAATTATTATCTTTTAAAAACTGAAATATCCTAACACTCCACTAAGGATTATTTTAGTTCCATCATATCAATGTTACCTGATATAAACTTTGAGTTCTAACATAAGATTAACTTACATAGTTGGTTCTAAGAAGAAATTAGTTGTATTGAAACTTAGTATGACGAGATCCACAAGATTAGCAAATGCCATATTCATATTCAAAGTGAGTTGTTTTGATTAAAACATCCCAGACCACAAATATTAGACAAAGAGCTTCTTTAATTTTTCTTACTTGTAAACATGGTAATATATTAATCCTACAGTTGGGATCCATAATATATTAAGCTCATTGTTGGTGCCTGAATGGTGAGGTGAAGGTCTTCTTTTGTGTCTTAGGAATCCATGGCAGTGAAATCCTCCCCTGGAAAAGGATTTTCCCGACCTGCCAGACCAGCAAATCGCCGTCTCCCATCCAGATGGGCATCTAGATCTCCTTCAGCACCCCCTGCCTTGCGGAGAACTGCCCACAACTTCCCCATTCCTCTGTGATCAGAAGCTTCGATGGTCTAAGTCTCTGACCTGAATTGCTAGACTACGAAAGTCCCAATTGCCAAACAGAGTATTCCAAGTGTTTACAACCAATTCTGTCTCTTCTGTATCTTTCAAGGTTACTGGGACAATTTAAACCTTAACTTCCCATCAGTCTTCAGTGTTTTTAATCTATGGAGTAATTTTCTTCCTGTATTTTGATTTCCTAGATCAGAATTTTTTAATGCCATCCTCATTAATTTGCCAATATGATTTAAGTTGAAACAGTGTACTATATTGTATAGTCTGACTTTCTTGCAAGTGGCAGAAAGCAAGGTTATGTGCATGGCTATGTGTTTTGTAGGTGCATGTGTTGATATAGGAAATGTCAGTATGTATTTAGATAAGTAAAACTTATGTGCTAGTGTTGACTTTGAAATTATAACATATATACCTATATATTCTTTGTGTTTATTTAAAAATTTTTAAAATATACAGTATTATTTATATTTTTTGTACCTTTTAATAGGCATCCACTTAAGACGTTTGAGGTACATATATTAACTAACCACTTCCTTGGCCCCAACTACATAGAAAACTAACTATACATATACCTAAGGTTAGTAGGTTTCTACAGCCAACTCATTTTCTTAACCCATATAAGGATAGATTAATACCATTGGTCTCCTTGTTTATTCTTTTAAATATTAATAAATAAAGAGTTTAAATAGTTGAAACAGATCAGCCTTCTAAAACGAACATAAAATATCCACAAAAACTTTTATATATCATTCAGCAGTCTATTATGGCTTTCACTGTATACTTGATCCTCAGAGCTGGCCTAAGACTGCTTTATAAACAATATAACTAAACAATTAATTTATTTTGACAACTTCAGTAACAAACATACCTTAAATATGGTTTAAAAATAAATTCAGTTAGGCTGAATTCTAATTTTGGCAAAATTTTAGTAAACTTTTTTTTCAGCATTTGGAGCAATACATATTGTGAGAGGTAAGTTATTCACTTTTTCCTTTTTTAACCTTTTCCCTGAAATTAGTAGATAAGAGACTATTTCAGATTTTTATTAACAAAATCAGGAACAATATTTCATTGAGAGCTGAATTGTATTTTTTTGTAGTGTGCTACATTCAAAAAGCCTTAATCTAACCTTTGGCATCCGTGGGTAGCATAAGGGGCAGAAACTTTTTCGGTGGTCACAATTTGCCAACAGTGAATATCCATATACTGAGAGCTGACAGTAATATGAACGTTGAGGTGCTTGGAATTCTACATGAATGATCTTAGAAGCAACTTTGCTGTCCATTGTCTCTGTATAAAGCCAACTACATTACTAGATAGTAATTCTATTTAAGCTTTTCTTTTACTACCGAAAGGTTAATGAATTCTTATGACAATGATATTCAAAGAGCCTTCTCCTTGTGATACATTCTAGCAGTTTAGAAAAATTCACTTCATCACAGTATGATCTGAGGTACAGTAGTTGTTTTTTGAATCCCAGACTGCCTTAAAGGCTCAAGACTGTTGCATGGTGATGGCCAGATTCATATTTTCCAATATGAACAGTTTCTGGGAGTTGAGCAGAATTAAACTTTTAGAACATGAGGTTGGAGCAGATGATAAGAAAGGGCTACAGATCCAGTCTTTTAATTCTTATTTGTTCCAGGAATATCCTTTTCCATAGGAAGACTGTAGGAAAAAAGTACCCTAGATATCAAGTGATGTCACTCAGATAATATGCTTTTCATCTAAAAGGGAGAAAACACTGGGGAGGTGGGAGACTATGGCATAAGATGATGAACCTGGTAGGAAGATGCTTCTGTGTAACAATGGAACACAAGCCTGCCCACGGGCCGTGAGACACAGCTACTCCTCTCCTTCACTGTATCTATCCCAGGTATCTGACGTGGGGCTGTGGTTCCTAACTTGAATTACAAGTCAAATATTGAGAGTTGTTTCTTAATTCTTGGCCTCACCCCATGATTACTAAAAGAGCATTTCCAGGGGTGGGGAGGGAATTTTGAGTCCTTAATAACACAGAACAAAATATTTGCTAATTAGGGAGATTTGGAAGCAGTGACATTCATTGATACCCTAATGGATGAGTATCATTGGATATGCGTATTACTTCTCTGGGACTTCCTTATCTGTAAATTAAAAGGGCGATATTGTCACACATCACAATTTTGTGCCACTTGTTCTAACCATCTGAATGAAACAGTGGGATACATTTTAAGGTCTTGTGTTGACAAAAATCATAGAATGTTAGAACTGAAAAAAAAAAAAACAGCATCTACGCCAAGTCCTTGATTGTAAAGTTGGAAAAAGAAAAAAAACAAGTATTATTTGAATATTCTGTCTTCTCTTTTAAATATTTTATAATTTTTTTATGAAAAACCTATCAGTTAAATGGAAATTATCCTTGAAAATACATTTTTGATGTGACTTTTAGCCAGTAGTTTTTCTACTTTGGATGGGCATTTTCTTCCCCCAAAACTTACCTTTATTATACCATCATTACTGGATTTCAGAGGTTTATAAACATTTCAGAGGCACTTGATTAGAAGTTTTCCCTGGCAGACTTTTGAGGGGAAAAAAATCTTATATTATCTCAATAGAGTTACTGACATTGTAGATTGATCTCAGAAAGGAAAAAGAATGAAGCAGAGTGTTTGAGTTTCTGTGCCTGTTTGCTTGTATGTGTGTATGTGTGTGTATACGTGCACAACCTTTGCCCACGCTCCCTATGTTGCTTTATGACCAAAGCCAAGTACAAAGGATGTTGTATAATTCACTTTATTAAAAATTATTCATAACTCCTTTATTTTTATATAGACAATGACAATGACCAGATATTATCATGCACAAAATATGATTACTTCTACATATAGGATTTAGCCAGTCTCCATGTCATCCTAAGAAAATATTTGGACCTAAAAAAGAGAATCTGCCCACACATACTTTTTAAAATGATTTTTAGTCACACTTGCTGACAAACAGCTACTCAGTTGTGAAGTCTCCTTCAATCATTGGAAACTATCAAGTAAAATAGGTGTGGAAACACTTGTGGTGGAATATGTATACACGAGGAAGAACATTTATATTTTCCTCTTTTACTGGTGAAACTCCAACTGAGAGTTTTTTAAAGTCTAAACTCAAATATGTATACAGTTCAACCTAGCTTTTCCTAAAATATCTCAAGATGGTAGTCTAAAGACCAAGCCTTCTTGAATTCCGACACCCAGTCATATGCAAACACATCTAGTTTCTCATGTATTGACACCATTTGTGTCTATTTATCTGCTTATTAAGTCTGATTAAGTTTGTTTTTAAAAGAAATAACTCCTCTGAAACTTGCTCTTACATTATGAAATCAGTTAAATGTGTCTATTTATCTGCTTATTAAGTCTGATTAAGTTTGTTTTTAAAAGAAATAACTCCTCTGAAACTTGCTCTTACATTATGAAATCAGTTAAATTATTTTTAGACATACACAGATTTCTTGTTATTGTTGTTTTAGTCGCTAAGTTGTGCCTGACTCTTTCAACCTCATGGACTGTAGCCCACCAGTCTCCTCTGTCCATGGGATTTCTCAGGCAAGAATGTTGTAGTGGTTGTCATGTCATTCTGCAGGGGATCTTCCCAACCCAGAGGTTGAACCTGCACCTCCTGCTTGGCAGGTGGGTTCTTTACCACTGAGTCACCCGGAAAGCCCCACAGATTTCTAGTAGAGTGCTATTTCGCTTCAAATTCTGCACATTTCTTAAGTAGCAAGTATTACATCAGAGGGACTTCCCTGCTGGCTCAGTGGTAAAGAATCTATGTGCAATCCACATGCAGGGGCTGCAGGGGATGTGGGTTTGATCCCTGGGTTGGGAAAATCCCCTGGAGGAGGGCATGCAACCCACTTCAGTATTCTTGCCTGGAGAATCTCATGGACAGAGGAGCCTGGCAGGCCACAGTCCATAGGGTCACAAAGAGTTGGACATGACTGAAGCAACTTAGTATGCATGCACCTTTATCAGAATCTAGACCCATGACCTTCATTTTATTACAGCTCAGAAAATTTGCCTTTCCAAAATGAGCTTCATAAACTAAAAAAAAAAAAAAAAAGAAAAAGAAAAAAATTGCGGAAGGAGTTTTAAGCCAAGTGCCTAGCCAACATTTTTCACTGTGGAAATTCTTATAGAAAATAATCTTTGTCTCAGTGGGAAAAAAATAATAAGACTTGAAATCTGATACATATTACAATGATCTCATGAATCCAACAGGTAAGATTGGTAACTTCTGGAAAGAAAAACGGTTCTGTTTTTATGAATCTATGATGGAGTCTAGAAGTGAGAGAAAAATCTAGAGTAGGAAGGACCTTAGAAGTCACACAGAGCCATCTCATCTGACTTTAAAAGGCAGGCAAGGGTGGTGCGTGTAGACTGATAGTCTCTTCTTTCCACCTTTCTTTTATTATCATCTAAAGTTTTATCTAGATAAACCCATAAATAAAATCAACCATCTATAACTTCATATAATACACCATAAGAGCAAAATTAGATACCCCAGAAACTGAATGTGACATTTTTCTTCAATAAAAAACAGAAATAGGCACAACATCAAAGAGTAAGACCATGTCTAGAAGAACTTAGAAAATGACTGTATATATGAAGTAGAAAAGCATGGGGAACACCCACATTGCATCTGGGAATAGAATATATAGTCTCAGGAAAAAAGAAGTGCAGTGATATTATAACTAAAGAATGTGAAACTTAGTTTCTCTGAGCTCTGTCCTGAATGGAAAGGAGGTGGGCTGCATGGAGCAGAGGAAAAGATACTTGAGAGCAAGAGTGTCCACTGTTAATCCCACTGCCATCCAGTTAAAACAAATGAAAAAGAGGCCAGGTCCTGAGAACACGAAATTTCTGGCCATAGTACTATTCCATTCTGTCTCTGGAGGAGGAGGTTCCTGCAGACTATCTGTGCTCCACAGCTCTGTGCCACAGGGTCACCCAGTTTCATCAACTCACTTTTCCCACACTCATTCAAGTACCATTCTGATTCTCAAATTAACGACTTGTCTAGAGAAATAAGAGAGTATCAAGACCGGTGTTTTTTATTTTTTTTAATATTTCCAGGAAGTTTTCTCTAATAGCAAAAAAAGAAAAAACTACCCAAGGTCTCTGCAGAGAGCTTTCTCCATCCTTGGCTGCAAAGAACATAATCTGATTTCATCTAGTGATGTCCATGTGTAGAGTCATCTCTTGTGTTGTTGGAAGAGGGTGTTTGCTGTGACCAGCATGCTCTCTTGACAAAACTCTGTTAGCCTTTGCCCTGCTTCATTTTGCAATCCAAGGCCAAACTTGCCTATTATTCCTACCTTTGCATTCCAATCCCCTATGATGAAAAGGACTTCTATATTTGGTGTTAGTTCTAGAAGGTGTTATAGGTCTTCATAGAACTGGTCAATGTTAGCTTCTTCAGCATCAGTGGTTGGGACATAGACTTTAATTACTGTGATGTTGAATGGTTTGCTTTGGAAATGGACAGAGATCATTCTGGCATGTTTGAGATTGCACTCAAGTACTGCATTTTGAACTCTTTTGTTGACTATGAGAGCCACTCCATTTCTTCTAAGGGATTCTTACCCACAGTAGTAGATAAAATGGTCATCTCAATTAAATACACCCATTATCATCCATTTTAGTTTGCTGATTCCTAAGATATTGATGTCCAATCTTGCCATCTCTTGTTGACCATATCCAATTTACCTTGATTCTTGGACCTAACATTCCAGGTTCCTATGCAGTATTCTTTTTACAGCATCAGACTTTACTTTCACCACCAGACACACCCACAACAGCATCATTTCCACTTTGGCCCATCCACTTCGTTCTTTCTGGAGCTCCTAGTAATTGCCCTCCGCTCTTCCCCAGTAGCATACTGGACATCTGACGTGGGAGACTCCTCTTTCAGTGTCCTATCTTTTTGCCTTTTCATATTGTTCATGGGGTTCTCACGTCAAGAATACTGGAGTGGTTTGCTATTCCTTCCTCCAGTGGACCATGTTTTGTCAGAACTCTTCACTATGACCCATCCGTCTTGGGTGCCCCTGTGTGGCATGGCTTATAGCTTCATTGACTTATACAAGCCCCTTCTCTACATGATCCATGAAGGGTGGCATCTAAAATTATTTCATTTAGGGTAGTTGTAACTTGAAAATGTTTACAGGCCTTAAGCAAGAATTTTGCTTGCTTTGTTCACTTACTGTGCCAAGTGGTTAGGAAAGTGCCCGCAGAGAGTAAGCTCAATAAATATTTGTTGAATAAATTTTAAAAAAAATTGTTAACAGTTTAACAATAACAAAATGCTTTAATCATTTGCTATCAGGAAAATCAAAATAGGTTTTCCTCTCTGTTTCCTTATTTAATTACCATGGACTGAAATAATTTATTTCCCAAAATTGAGCCACCTGAATTTACACTGTATAGTAACTTCTCTTCTTGATGGTGTCACCATATTTTTCAGCACTTAAAATGTGCCTACAAATAGAGATCATTTGTTTTCACTGTTTTGTAAACTTTATAAGCATGATCACTGGCATAAGATGACAAGAATACTACCAAAGAGATAGTATTCTTGAATGTTTGAATTGACTGCTGGTAGAAATTTAAGTAGCTTTTAGCTGAAAAGTCAGTGTGCTATGTGAAATATTGTAATGCTCTCTTTTTTATTGTCTGAGGAGAAACATAGTTGAAAGGCTTTTGTGAAGACAAAAAATAACAGCATAGTACTAAATTTTACCACATGTCGTTGAATTAAAATTTCCAAAATTTCATGGTTGATGTCAGCTCTTCACAGCTCTCACATTCTAACTGCTGTCTTATCACACCCAATTCAATCTTAAAATGTTTTTGCTAAATAAGCCAACTTTGAGAGCTACTGTTTGCTGTTAGATAAAGCAGTGATTCATCATTTTAACCCATATTTTAGCCATTTTTACAGGTTTTTAATCTAAATTGAAAATCTTTTTAAAATTGTTATTTATTTATTTTTGGCTATGCTTGATCTTGGTTGCTGTGCGAGGGCTTTCTCTAGTTGCAGAGAGTGGGGAGAGGGGGGCTACTCTCTTGTTGCAGAGCACAGGCTCTAGAGCTCGTGGGCTTCAGTAGTTGCAGAAAGCCTATGCAGCATGTGAAATCTTCCTGAACTAGGATCAAACCCATGTTCCCAGCATCGGCATGGGGATTCTTTAGCCACTGGACCATCAGGGAAGTCCCTGATTTGATCAGCAGTTTTCTCTGCCTAAAGCAGCACATATACCTGTCAAAGAGCAGGTTTTCAAACTCATTTCCCATTTCTTTATAAGTTTATCTAAAAGATAAGCATCTAAATAATTATTTCTGTTAATTTTCAACTAAATTCAGCATTTGTGTCCAGCCCATTAATCCACAA